GAGAGAGAGAGAGAGAGAGAGAGAGAGAGAGAGAGAGAGAGAGAGAGAGAGAGAGAGAGAGAGAGAGAGAGAGAGAGAGAGAGAGAGACGGCGAACTCGACGAGGTGGAGGCGCGTGGGGACAGCGACGGCTCAGCGCGGCAGCGGACGGCGGCCCCAACGACGCAGAGCGACGACGGAGACGACGACGGCGCACAGCGGCACTAAAAATTGAACGCACGTTCAATTCTTTGAACGCGCGTTCAATTCTTTGAACGGCGGCTGGGGGGGGTTCTGTGTGCGGCCCGCGCCGCGTTGTCGGCGCAGTGGGGGTTTCGAGGCCATGGGGGGTGCGTAGCCGACACAACAGGAGCAGCTCGGGGGTGGCCCGATGAGGCCTTGTGCGGGGAGGGACGCCGGCGGGAGTTGGAGCTTCGTGGGATAGGCTGAGGGCGGATCGCTTCGGTGAACCCATCGGCGAGCGGGCACGATGCCGCGAAGTCAGGCTCGGGTGTTTCAGGATGGGGGGGAGGACGAGAATCAGAAGGCGCAGAAGAAGTATTGCGTGTACAAGTACATCCGCATGGGTCAGAGTCTCGGCGAGAGATTCCGCGGCAATCGCATGCTGAAGTGCGTTTTTTGCGGCCACGAGTTCCAGGGCAACCAGTTCGTGGCGGCGTGCCATTTCCGCCAGGGCAAGGGATGTCCGAAAGTGACTGACGAGGCACTTGTCGACATCCACTACAACAGTGAGTACAAGATGTCCGACAAGTTCCTAGAGCGGATCCAGCGATTTGAGGAGCTTCACGGTGCGGCGCCTGCGATGGATCCACGACGGGACGAGGGGGGGGAGGGAGAGATGGGGGAGGCGGAGGAGCAGATCGACGTGGACGACGACGTCGAGGAGGTTGCACGGGCGGGGTCGTCAGGGAGGGAGCGAGGGAAGGGCGTTGTCAGCGAGCCGGGGGGGCAGCAGGGCCAGTACTTTGCGTCGGCGTACGTGTCGGCTCTTACACAGGCAGGTGCGGATACGGTCGAGGCGGGTCCGTCTGCGGGGAAGAGGAAGGAGAGAGAGGAGGGGGCCAGACCGACGGCAGCACAAAAGAGGATGAGACAGAACACGATCACAGAGTCATTCTCTTCAAAGTGGCAGATGGGGTTCAAGAAGAGGTGGCTGCGGTTTGTGTACAGTCAGCGCCTGGCGTTCAATGTCTTCCGGAGCGAGCCGTGGTTGGACGTCGTCCGACACTTGTCCACACGGAGGGGTCAGTGAAGGTGTTGTGGCCTTCAAAGAATGAGATCGCGGACATAGAGACCATTGTCCACACGGGGGACGATGTGGGAGCTGATCTCGCGGAGGTCAGGGCTCCTTTCTATGTCACGGGGGCCACCATTATGTCAGACGGAAGGAAGTCACGCGATGCTAGACCCATCGTTAACTTCCTTGCCGACGGGTCGCGTGGGGTTATGCTCGTCCGGACGATGAACAGGGAGGGTGAGCGGGATCGGGCGCCTGATGTGTTGGCGCGCTAGATCAAGGTGTTCGATGACTTCCCCCCTAAGTGGGTGAACGCCATCTGCACCGACTCCGCCTCGGCGTACGTCGCCGCGACAAACAAGCTCCAGGGTCCCCAGCAGAGGCCAGAGCATCGACAGATCACGTGGCTCCCATGCGCAGTGCATGTCTGCAACAAGATGTTGTCAGACATTGGCTGTTCGGGCCCGTGGTCCAAGGACATCATCGTGAGGGGGAGAGCGGTGGTGCGCTTCATTAAGGAGCACGACGCCGCTCTCCATATCTTCCGGGGGTAGAGCAGTCAGATGGGCCTCATCTATCCTTGCGAGACACGTTTCGCATCCGTGTTCTCGATGGTGGAGCGTTTGCTGGTAGTGAGGTCAGCTTTGGAGAGGACGGTGGATGGCGATACTTGGGGTATGGTCCCTTGGGACCATTCCGTTCGTCGTTTGGCTAGGTGGGTCAGGTGGCAGGTGCGACATGGCAGTTGGTGGGATTCCATGGGCATCTTGTTCCGTATCATGGAGCCTGTGTACGACCTGCTGCGCAGGTTGGACCGCGGAGGGCTGCACATGTCGCGGGTGGTTGAGTGGACACAGGATCTGGCCCGCCAGGTAGCAGAGGAGGTTTGTGCACTTCCGACAGATCTTGCACACTACATTGTGCAGAGGGTGCAGGCTCGATGCGCTCACATGCTGGAGCCGGCGCACGCCACTGCTCACCTTCTCTGTCCCAGCCAGCGGGACTTGCGGTACTTCGAGGGCATGGTCAAGACTACGACGCGAGCTTGGTGAGGGAGGCAGACACTTACATCTTGTCGCAGACAGGGTTCAGTGTGGTGAGCCGCGACTACGAGACCGCATGTGCGCAGTTGCGCGACTTCCACACACGGAGGGGGACGATTGCTTGGGGGGGGAGAGACGGAGACAGAGATGCACAAAGGGGCACGGGCAATGCGGAGACGTATGAGTCCGGGTGTTGGTGGTCGAGGTACGGGCAGTGCGCCCCGCAGTTGCAGGTTATCGCTCTTCGTGTGATGTACATGTGGACGTGCTCCTCTCCTGCGGAGAGGAATTGGGCCGTCCACGAGGGTGTACAGACGAAGAAGCGTAACCGGCTTGAGTTCGAGAAGGTCGCAAAGTTGGTTGAGATCTCAGCCAACGTCCGCCTTCTCTCTCATCAGCGGGCAGGCCGTGGGTTCGCGCTGTCGTGGACTCTAAATGAGTCGTTGTTGGACATGGAGGGAGGTATCGGGATTCGCCCCTCGTGGAAGGGGACGGACAAGAGCAGGACGCGGGAGGAGCTCGAGGATCAGAGACGTTCATGGCAGCGAGACCGATGTGGGTCCAGAGCTCCTCCGGGTGATGTGGGCGATGTTTTTGGGACTCGAGCCTCCACATTGCACCCGTACCCTCGATACAACAGTGATTCCGAGGGTCACGAGGATGAGGACGAGCCGGCGGGCCCCGCTACCGCCACTCCTGCGGCGGATGAGCGTGATGAGTGGAGCGACCCAGAGGACGTCCGTAGACAGAGTGGCGGAGATGACCTTTTAGTTCGAGTTGATTTGGAGGAGGAGCCTGGGGGTCGTCATGGGAGCCCTCTAGAGCGTCCGAGGCCTACGTCCACTGACCCGCTTTCCGCTGAGCGGCAGAGAGATCCTGGGTCTGCACCTTCGAGGGGGGCAGAATCGGTGATTGGCCATCGTCCTCTGGGTCGCTCTGGCACGGCATCATCCACCGCTCTTTCCACTTCGACGGAGCAGCTTCATCGACAGCCAGCTGGTGCAGATCGATTGCAGAGATTGGTGAGGGGCCCGAGACAGCGATAGGAGGACAGATTAGAGGGCGGTCCTTCGCCGGTGCAGGGGGACGACGGAGACAGACAGGGGTTGGTTGGTGGAGATGGTGGTGCGTTGGCCGGAGGTGGAGGAGGTGTCGAGGTTGCTGTGGCGGTTGAGGGGATACCGATGGGCGGCAGAGGCGGTTTCAGTGAGTTTGGTGACATGGGTATGCCCCCGGGAGAGAGCGTGGGTCTGGCCCGAGGAGAGAGCAAGTCCCGTGGGGACATCAATGTGGGTATGCAGGACTTACTGGGACAGATCAGCTTCGTGGACCCGAGTAGTTTCTCCCCTGCCATGCGCGCAGAGGTGATGTTGGGGGCAGAGGGGGATGAGGACCGGACACCCCCTGGAGAGACATCTGCAGAGAGGCTGGATAGGCTTGATAGTCGTCGAGCTGGCCTCATGGCACAGAGGGACCCCAGGACGCAGGAGCTCGCCCGTCTTGCGGCCGAGGAGCGACGGAGGCAGCTGGGGACATTTACGCCGGCGTCCGTTGACGTGGGGCCAGATGCCCACACGGATCTTCCGACAGAGGTTCATGACACGACGCAGCGGGAGGCGGCTTCAGCAGAGGTTTCGAGTACGGGAGTAGATGTTCAGCAGGGGATGCACGAGAGCGGGTTGGCACCCACAGAGGAGCCACGTTCGGAGTCGGCGCAGCCTCCTGCCGTCTAGCTGAGGCCCGAGGAGACATTGCAGGAGGTCGCGGGCGTGCCTCTGCCCGTGGGTTCAGTTGAGGGTGCCGTGCAGATGTCCTCGGGTCTGGAGGACATACAGACGGAGCAGTTAGTGGGCGTTGATGATATTCGCCCATCGGCATAGGCGGAGGGGGTAGCGCCGACCACCGGGGGGGAGGGGGCCGTAGGGGGGGCTGTTGGTGTTGGCGGGTCGGGGGTGCCATCCGCGGCCGATCCGATGTCCATGTCTGGCGGGGGAGACCCCGCACAGGTGGACAGGCGTGACGCGGACGGACAGGAGATGCCACAAACTTTGGTGGTTCGCACTGCTGTGGGGCCTGTGGTGCCACATCAGGCACCGTTTTTGGAGGGTTATAGGCGTCGTGCACATAGCGGTGGCCCGATCGAGGAGCGACGTGTAGGCAGGGGCACGTGCATACCCCCGGTCCCTACTTTTGCGCCGTCACGGACAAGGCCGGAGATTAGGCATGTGGCTACGCCTCAGGGCAGCCTCCCTTCTGGTCTTATGACCGCTGAGGAGTTGGAGGACCACGGCAGGAGGGATTTGAAGGAGATCGACCAGCGCGTTTTAAGGTCAGTCCCGGAGGAGGGGAAGCTGCCTCACGTGCAGGACTTATCTTGGGGGCCAGCCAGCCCCAGCTTACCTTCAGGGTGTTCCATCGCAGCGCCATCTGGCGGGGCTGCAGGGGGCTTACCTTTTGGAGGTTCCGTCGCAGCGGCATCTGGCAGGGCCGCATGGGACTTACCTTCTGGAGGTTCGGTCGCAGCGCCATCTGGAGGTGCCGCAGGCCCTTCTTCACCCTTGACCGTAGCTCCGAGGGAGGGCGGCAGTCTCACCCTGAGGTTGGTTGCCCGTAGACGGAGAGACACTACCCAGCGTGCGCGGGAGTTGCTGAACACCATGTTGTTCGGTCGCACTGATCGACCATGGAGCGAGACGAGATGGGTGACGACGGCGAGTGTCGGTTGTCAGCCAGGTTTGAGAGGGGCTTCCACGGGCGTGAGACGTCGAGACGTTGTAGCTTCAGGGTTTGGTGGTAGAGGCGGTGGCGGCGGTGGCAGCGGTGGCCACGGCGACTGCAGACGTGAGGGTGCAGGCGGTGCCGCAGTGAGAGCAGTGGATCCGCCCTTGACGTACGGTTTGAAAGAGGCGTCGATTATTTTGCAGGAGCGTGACGTTGTTACACGACCGAGGCAGGAGAGACACGTGCCCTTAGATCAACGCCAGGAGGGGGAGACGTCAGGGATTGACAGTCTACCTATGGCACGCGAGTCACGCCGACGTGATGACCTAGCAGCAGCAGGCATCAGGACGGTAAGAGGCAGGAGAGTCATTATGGACGACGATCCCGACGAGCGTCCCGTCGCTCCCAAGCCTTCCGCTGGCGGACGCGGCGGCCAGCGTCAGAGAGATCGAGGACGTGGCAGTGGTAGGTCCCACGGACGAGTTTCTCATCGGTCCGAGCGAGATCCGCATGCGCACGACGATTGTTGACGGATTACGGACTTGCATTTTCGTGACTTTCTCAGTGTACTTCAGTTTTTTGTTATCCATGACAGACGTAGTGTCTCGTGAGGTTGTATCATAGTCTACTTTTTAGTGGGTACTTTTCTGCGCAGACGTAGTGTTTCGTGATGTTGTATTCTAGTCTACTTTCGTAGGAGTACATGGCCATTTCGTTCGAGTTTAGTTTTTTGTTATCCATGACAGACGTAGTGTTTCGTGATGTTGTATTATAGTGTACTTTCCAGTAGGCACTTTTCTCCGCAGTTTGCTGCTTCGGAGATTGTTGCTTTCCAGTGTATTTTAGTGTACTTTTTCGTCGGCATTTTTGGGTTGGTACTTCTTTCCACAGACTGGCGGGGCTTCGACACGATGTGTCAGATTTTTGGTATTATCCATGCTATATTGGTTTGCGTTTTGCTTCGATCATTACATCTTGGCATTTGCGATGTTTCTGTTTTCAGACGACGAGTGTTTTGTGTGCTTTGAGTCCGCCCTTGGTTTCTCTGAAATCTCACTTCCCACTGTAAGAGCACCACAAAAACCTCGGGCACCCGGGGGCGTGGGCGGACTTGGGGGGTTGGGGTTTGGCGTGATTTGAACACGCACGGAACCCAAACCCCCGAAGTGCTTCCAGGCCCCTCATAACCCAAACCCT